CCAATAGTTTAAGGTAGGGCTGGAAAAAAATTACCGAATACCGATTACCACGGTATACCTACCAAAAATTACCGAATAAATACCGAACTATCGGTTGCCATTACATTTGGTACGGTATTGGTACCGTACCATTAGTTTACGGTACGGTAGCGGTATTGTATCTTCAATACCATGGTAATACCGTACCGTACCGCAACTTTGTATTTTTAAAATTAGTTAATATAGATTTCCTTTTATATTGTTAAATAAAAAAATATAGTCAACGAATAATTAAAAAAAAAACAAGAATAAAGATATGATACATCCTCTATATATATACATAATTATGATTTGTTTTATTCTCTTCATATATTTATGCAAACTCACTATTTGCCTCTCGTTAAGTTGTTTATGTTCGCGCGCACTTCTTTAGTTCTAAAGTCCAACTAATCTTCTTATTAGTGGAATTTTTTTTGCAACAATTTTCTTCTCCATTTCTTTCTCCCTGAGGTCCCAACCTTTTATTTCATTTGCATCATTGCAACATATTTAATTTTTTTGTTTCTTTTACTTAAACCATGAAATTTTCTTACTCATTAGTTTCTACAAATTTTCTATAGATATATTAGTAAGCATTAGTTAACTAAAGCAAAATTTTCTACAACAGTTGTATAATGTATATTCATGTAGATTGCTTAATTGCAAATTCATTTGCTTAATTTGTTGTATTTATACATTTATTTAGTATTCATCTTAATTATGGTATTATCCAAATTCATCAACAAAATTATGCACGGTAGATTACCACGTACCAATCATACCGTACCGAAACTAACGGTATACCGCAACTGTTGGTACGGTAACGGTATAGAATTTTTCAATACCGCAAGATACGGTAGGTACACGGTATTGAACAAAATATTCGGCAACCGTGCCGAAACCACCCCTATGCTTGATGGTCAACATCTTTGGATGCCCTCACGAGTGTGAGGTTGCTATGCCTAAGGAGTTGTAGCTCGAGACGCATTCCAAGAAAAACAGAAAAGTTGATTCACTTGAGGTGGTTGGACTTGGGTCATAATGACTTTGCCTGTGACGATGGTCTGAAGTCCATTTGTCAGCTTTATAACTTGCAATTCCTTTGGGTGGACCAATGTGAGCTACTAGAGATTCCTTCGGAAGTCGGAAATTTGATTCACTTGATACACCTGGACTTGGGGTACAATACACATCTGAAAGAGTTGCCAGAAAGCCTGTGCAATTTGCGTGAATTAGAAAGCTTGATTGTTGAAGGGTGCACGAATCTTGCTCGACTTCCCCAAGGAATCCATAAACTCGTAAACCTCAAACACCTCAATGTTGATGGTACTGATTCTCTGAAGCAATTTCCTCAAGGACTAGCCCATTTAACCCGTCTCGTGGCATTGGAAAAATTCCTTCCGTGTGATGGGAGCAGGTTGGGATGGTTGAAGAATTTAAACCGACTTAGCGGGAAGATGGAATTGGAGTTAGAAATAAGACGTCATGATTCAGTAGCGGCGGTGGTGGAGGATGCTCGCGAAGCGGAATTGTGGAAAAAGATGCACGTTCATGAACTGAGATTAAATTTTCATGGCGAGTCATCATCGGTTTGGATTGACGTACTAGATGCTCTGAAGCCACATCCAAATCTCCAACATCTAACAATTTACAACTACAATGCCTCGCGACTTCCGGGATGGATCGCATCGCCGCACAACCAAGTCACATCTATTTCCCTCCGTTATTGTGAATCCCTTTCGACGCTTCCGCCGCTGGGTAAACTACCGCTACTGGAGACTCTTCATATTCATGGTTTATCGGAATTGGATTTTGTTGGACGGGAATTCCTGGGAATAACAACAACAACAACAACAACATCTTCATCTCCGTCGGTGGGTACTATTATTGGTGGCTTTCACAAATTGAAGAAACTGACGTTTTCGTTCTGTTCAAAGTGGAAGGAGTGGGAGGACATTACGGCTGAAGAAGAAGAAGATTCTTATAAAGATGCCGTCTCATCAATAATGCCTTGCCTGACGGAGTTTGAGATCAATTTCTGCGAGGGATTGACGGAGCTGCCGCGACGCCTAATGCGTAAGTTGTCATCATCCTTGAAGGTGTTGGTTATTAAAAGCTCCAAACTTGTAGATGCTCTTCAGCCACATCCAAACCTGCACGAGCTCACTATCGGCAACTACCAGGGACCGCAACTTCCACAATGGATCGTGTCGCCACTCAACCAACTCACTTTTATTTACCTCGACAATTGTCAACACCTTGTGCCGCTGCCGCCGCTGGATAAACTACCGCTACTCGAGACTCTTTGTATTAAATCTCATAATCTATTGGAATTTCTTGGACGTGAATTCCTCGGAATAACAGCAACAACAACAGCATCTTCGTCGGCGGGTACTATTATTGGTGGCTTTCCCAAGTTGAAGAAACTGACGTTTTCGTTCTGTTCAAAGTGGAAGGAGTGGGAGGATATTACGGCCGAAGAAGAACATTCCGAAGTTGCCGCCTCATTATTAATAATGCCTTGCCTGAAGGAGCTAGAGATCACTTTCTGCAACGGCTTGAGGAGGCTGCCACATCGCCTCCTGCGAAAGGTGTCGTCGACGTTGAAGAAGTTGGATATTTCTTGTTCGACACAACTGAAAAACGTCTACGGGAACAAGTATGGTCAACCCTGGAAATCAATAACACAACACAATCCACACCTTCGCCTCATTGATTGAAGTTGTTTATTTTTTGGGTCACTCAACTTTGCTTTCTTTTTCATTTTCTACTACGGCATTTATTTCATTTTATTTTCCATTTCTTGTTTTTTCATGTATATGAATATTACTTCCCATTTTCTCTTTCATTATGCACACTGAGATTATACAATCCACATATTTTTTTGTTATTCTTATACAGTGAGATTATTTTGGTTATCTCCTGTCTTTTTTCAACCACATGGGGTGTTGTATGGGTGAACCCGGTTTGCACCCTGAAAATTTGTTTTCCCAAATTTATACAAAAGACTAGGGTTAATTGAAAAAATACAAAACCAAATCAACAATTATGTTTTTTATATACAAGTAAAATAATGATATATATATATATATATATATATATATATATATATATATATATATATATATATATATATATTAAAAATTAATCAAACTAAGTATAGATTTTTTTTTATACAAAATAAAGAAATACATAATAATGTTTAAGTTTTCTTTTAATGCAGGGATAATTTAAAATATATATATATATTATCTAATAATAAAAATAGAAATAAAAGACCCTATTCTACTTTTCTAATTAATATATAACAAAAATAAAATAATTAAACACTTATAATATATAAGAATTTATTAATTGTAAAATCTCAAGAGTACTTGTGTCTTTTTATATCAAATCAACACTCAAATGAATAATCGGAAGATTGTGCTATATAAATAATTTCATAGGGGTTTTATACTAGTTTATTTATCACACAGGATTTGTGCTATATAGAGATTGAATACGGGTATTTTGTGTAGTTTACCATATATATATATATATATATATATATATATATATATATATATATATATATATATATATATATATATATATATATATATTTACATATATATATATTGTTGTTCCCGATACATAAAACGGGTAGTGAATTTAGTAAATTGATTGAACAAATTAATTAGTGAAAATACGGAAAGATTAGCCGAGGCGAGTTGACTCTGTCCTTAAGACGAAATTTCCCCGCAACGGTGCTAACGGATTAAATGGAAATCGTCTCCCAAGATACAACGGCTAAACTTAGAATAGGAGCACTCCAAATCCCAAGTACGACGAACTGTACTTTGTGTAGAACTTTTCGAGAGAATCTGTGAAGGGTAGGCTTAATATGTAGTAGGCTTGTTTTTGGATTGAAGTGAGGAATTTTGGGAAGTTATGGTCTATTTATAAGGTTCGAAAAGTAGTGTCCTTTGGAGCAAAAAGGTACCTTTTGTTTGAATGGTTGCACCATTTCGAGTTGAGCCAATTGGGAGTGGTTGCACCATTTCGAGTTGAGCCGAATGGTTTGCATTGGTTCGGCCGCACCAATTCAGACCAGTCAGACCAATCGAGATGGGCTTCGAGTAATAAGGGCCCAATGGGTTAAAAGCCCATGACCTAATGTTTTTGGCCCGTCCCAATATTTTGATATATATACAGCTCAGTACTTCTCTACTTTTCCATGTGAGATAACTCAAATCCCACTTTCCTTATATTTTGGACTAGTAATTTTTTCATTCACCGCAAAATTGGTTCTAATCCAAAATTCATTTATATACTCAATTAGACCGTACAATAACATTGATAAAAAATTGTTCATGACTCAATTTTTAACCAATTTTTCCAACAATCCCCCACATGAATGAAAACGAGGGCGTCGATTCTATCTAGAGTTCCCACGAATAGTATTGCATCGGGATAGGTAGCATATAGCTTTGAACCTTCCGTAGTGGAGTTACATCGGATTTACTAGGCTGAGTAGTGAACGCGATGTCTTGAACTGTCAGCCGTTCGTGTAAACCAAGACAATGCAACCCACACAATACTATTCTCACATTTCCTTAGTTCTCATGATTGTGTCCGTTTTGGCCATAGACACACATCTTGGATTCATAAGTGTTTGTCAAGTTTTTTAAGCGGCCCTCACTTCATACACTTACATAGGTGATCTCCTATTAAAGGTATCCTGCCAATACCTCACCTTTTGTTATAAGGTTTTGGAATCATTAAAAGCTTTCGCTTATCCTTTACCCTCTCTGCAGGTAGCACTATTATCTTTCGCGGGAATGAGTTAGGAATGAGTTCCTTAGTGCTCAACTGAACTTTCTTAGCTTAGTTGTCCCTTTTGAACCAGTTCTTGGGATCTCCAGTCAGCATGGTTGGGTTACCACCAAGATTATCCTTAATTTATGGGTTTTAATCCCATTCCCCTAGATAGGCAATATGTTTGATGTCTTTAGTTAACTTTTAGTCACGGATCCGCTATTAACCATTGATTTTCATAATCAATGTTATATTATTTCTTTTGAGATCAATTGCCTAATGGTCTTATGTGTACGAGTGTATCGATACTTGCCATTATACATGTCGTTTGTGCCCTTAACGTAACCGATTGGTTATCACAATTTATTCATAATTGTAGACACCGACTTAGTCCAACACGGAACATCCTCCAATAATTTTATGAAGTTTATTCAACTTCTTTTCTAACCTTATCTGAAGTTATACATTCGAATTCGTCCATGAATCGAGCTATTCAATTTTGTTTGAGGATTTCCAAGATACATAATCTTAGTGGACTCATACATCCAATGTACTTTCCTAATACAATTGGATATTTTCTTTAATGTAATCCATTTAAAGGCGATACTTAGATTACCTAAGAACCCTTATAATATCATTGAATGATTATTTATTTTGGAATTACATATTTACTAGTTTGCAATTTATTATGTTGCCAAATTATCCAAAAATATTTGTAATTGAACCATTGTTCATCATTATTTTTGGCAAGGTAAACCCTTGATCTTTAGATAACTAGATCAATTTTTCTAGTAGTGTCTCAACACGAGACTTTCAATAAGACTATCTTTGTCTTAGTTACTTTAGAATATTTCCATAGCTATTTAATTTAGCTTGATATTACAATGTTATAAATAATCAAGATTTTTCCATAACTATTTAATTTAGCTTTATTGGACCACCCTTAATCATTCCTTTCAATAGTCCATCAAAAACTTAATGGTTTACTACTTGGAAGAAGACAAACTAACTTCCACGTACATTCTTCCAATGTAGACAATATTTCAATAATTGTCCTTTGTTCATTTTATAACTCATAAATTATAAAATCAAATCAAAATCAAACATATTGATTTTCTTTGTTATCTTGTTGTATCTTGGTTGTTCATCACTTTGATGATTTACCAATCACACATATTTTAACTTGATTGTTCATCACTTTGATGATTTACCACTTAGACATTTATTAGTTCTCTTATTTAGAACTTATTTATTTTCTTATTTTATAAGAAAAATATAATGTAATTTGCATCAAGAATGACTATCTTATGCACAATCATTATTTGCATATTCAATGAATATGCTTAAGTATTTTATCCACCTAACTATACTAGGCATTGTATATTAACTTAGGTACTTTTTTTTTACCTTTGCCTAAACACCCCCACATTTCTAAATATTAATGTGGTTAGGTCGGAATATTTAATTTATGTGGTTAGGGCCTAAAGACCCCCACATTTCTAAATATTAACGTGGTAGCTCGGGATATCTAATTTCCCCCACAAATTCTAGAGTATGTATTCTAGAATTTATCAATATAATATCCTAAACTTTTTCCAAAATTTTTGGTTCTCATTTTTAATTCATTTGTCAAAGTTGGCACTTTCCAACTTTCATTCACATAGCATTTAAATGCTTTGAAATCCTTATTTTTATTTTATTAATAAGGATACACAATGTAACAAAATACATTTCTTCTTTAGTTAGAGAAATATATTGGATCACCAATAAGATTTAATTACAAAGTATTGTTTTTCTTTCTCACAAGAAAGCACAACAAGAAAATCTTCTCAAGATACTTAAATCTTGTCAACAATTAAGATAATAAGATTTCTTCTTTTTCCTCAAAAGAGAAAATTCGTCAAGATACTTAAATCTTGTCAATAAAGAAGAGAATATTAATCTCTTAAAATGGTGGTTGATCTCCACTATTCAACATTAAAGTTAGAATATATAAATTCTAATCTTAATCATTCATAATTTAGGATTGCATGTCCTAAACATGTTGTTCAAAATTCAGTCAAATCCAACGATTTAATTCTACAAAACGAGCTTATAAGTAAACTGCTCGAATTTTATTTCAACAAAACATCCATTGTTGTTAACAACTATTTCGGATCTTTGAAAAATCAAAATCCGATCTCATCCATTCACATTGTAGATCATTATTTTGCAAATGTGATATCAAATCAAATCAAACCAACGATTCGATCTTCTTTTATGTTTTTGAGACAAGAACTACTCATGTGTTATCATGAATTGAGTCTTTCTTTCAATTTTATTTCAAATCATGCTTTTAATTAAACCGTAGTATGATTCATATGTACATCAATATTATAATAAACATAATATTTGACATGTGAGCACGTCTTTCATACTAGTTGATCATAGAAAGAAACAATATATCAAGCATATTATATCAACATATACATAGTATACACACGAGTATATAATAACATCAAATTTGAACATAATATTTCATGGCATAAATAAATTCATGTCCAACATAATGAATCGATAAAAATTCTATAGCACGTAATCAATGCATGTCAATGCAATAACACAATTCTAAATTAGTATGGCTTACGCAAAAAATAATATGTATAATAATATTCCTCTTACTAAGTAACTCATACTTAATATATGAGACAAGTCTAATCGATCATGACAATAATAAAACGTTAATAAGATCATGTACTCACATATTCGAAAATCAATCAACCGGACAGTTCCACATCAAATTGGGAGAAAGTTAATCCCATATCAAACTATAAGCAATTTATGCAAATAAATATTGCATTTTCATGAGAAATGTCATTAGTATAGCACTTATCATGCGGTTTATGATAAACTTATTCAAATAATTAGCACATACGCTATCACTTTATTTTATTTAGGATAAAAATATTTCTATTATTAATGTACATACACAAACATCATGAATATTCATTAAGCATATATATTGTATATGGTTTACCATGCTTCCACATAGAAAATTAAACTATCATGCAATAATCCACCATTATATCATATAGCATTATCAATATATTTCACAAATAGATATCTTATAATTAAAAAGCGTACCCGATAAATTATATGTTCGTCAATTCAAAATTTTGTGGGTAGCACCAAATCGTGTCAATATTATGGCAGTGCTGAATGATTTATTCATATCTCTTCCGTCCCAAGTCCGATTTTGTTGATTCAATATGATCCGAACAGCCAACAAACTTTTCTACAACTTTTATCTTTTACGTTTTCTGAAATTCGGACTGGATCATGATCAAAATAAGCCTCGAAGTCGGAATAGGTGTGCTGTGAATTTGCACCTACAATGGAACCAGAAAAAAAATATTAAATAATATTCATGAATCAAAAATAATATAAAACCTCATTATTGATCTTCGATTCAGTCTTCTTTCACCAAAATTTCGTGCATTGGACATTGGTGATGCGTTAATATGCGACGAGTTGCCTTAATCACGAACGGTTGTATTTTTCATGAAAAGGTGCATCGGCAGTACTTCTGCCACCGTTTCGTGTTTTTATCATAACTTCCTCGTACGATCTCCGATTGTGACGATTTAACATGTTCTGGAAAGCTAACTTGATTATCTACAACTTCTGTGAAATGTTAATTTGCCATATTCGGACTTTAACACCTTCGAAAATGGGAAAGAATGTGGACTTCATGTTCTGTCCGAAAATGAACTTTCTCCAATTGTATTTTGTAACTTCTTGATTTTTTTTTTTTTTGGCAGACTATCTTCTTCTCCATCTCGTTTACCAACGTGTGCAGAAAACACAATTTACTAAATCACAAAACTTTCGTCTTAAGATTGTTGTTCCCGATACATAAAACGGGTAGTGAATTTAGTAAATTGGTTGAACAAATTAATTAGTGAAAATACGGAAAGATTAGCCGAGGCGAGTTGACTCTGTCCTTAAGACGAAATTTCCCCGCAACGGTGCTAACGGATTAATTAATGGAAATCGTCTCCCAAGATACAACGGCTAAACTTGGAATAGGAGCACTCCAAATCCCAAGTACGACGAACTGTACTTTGTGTAGAACTTTTCGAGAGAATCTGTGAAGGGTAGGCTTAATATGTAGTAGGCTTGTTTTTGGATTGAAGTGAGGAATTTTGGGAAAGTTATGGTCTATTTATAAGGTTCGAAAAGTAGTGTCCTTTGGAGCAAAAAGGTACCTTTTGTTTGAATGGTTGCACCATTTCGAGTTGAGCCAATTGGGAGTGGTTGCACCATTTCGAGTTGAGCCGAATGGTTTGCATTGGTTCGGCCGCACCAATTCAGACCAGTCAGACCAATCGAGATGGACTTCGAGTAATAAGGGCCCAATGGGTTAAAAGCCCATGACCTAATGTTTTTGGCCCGTCCCAATATTTTGATATATATACAGCTCAATACTTCTCTACTTTTCCAATGTGGGATAACTCAAATCCCACTTTCCTTATATTTTGGACTAGTAATTTTTTCATTCACCACAAAATTGGTTCTAATCCAAAATTCATTTATATACTCAATTAGACCGTACAATAACATTGATAAAAAATTGTTCATGACTCAATTTTTAACCAATTTTCCCAACATATATATATATATATATATATATATATATATATATATATATATATATATATATATATATATATATATATATATATTGTTTACTAATTTTGTAATAATATTTTAATTTATAAACAATCAAATGAAAAAGAAAATATATATACATATAATATATAGGGTTAAATACAAAAACACCCCTGTACTATGGACTTTGTATCATATACCCCCGTACTACACATATATACAAGAAACCCCCTTATTGTTACATTTTTTTCCAAAATCTGACGAAAATACCCCTGTTATACTTTCTTTCAATATATTTTTTTAACATTTTGGTCAATTTTACTTGGGAAGTTTTTGTTTTTTTTTCTACAAAAACATCTAATTGCTTAGATTTTTTTTTTAATTTTGTGAATAAAACCTTTATTTTTGTCATTTTGAATTTCATCATTTTTTTCTCAAATGTCTTTCGGTAGTTCAAATTCACAACAATCATAGGATTGTAAAGATGTTTGTAATTTTAGGATGTTTGAACTACCGGAAGACATTTAAGAAAAAAATTAAGAAACTCAAAATGACAAAAATAAAAGGTTTTATTCAGAAATTAAAAAAATTTAAGCAATTAGATGTTTTGGAGAAAAAAAAAAAGTATAAATACCAAAATTTACAAGTAAAATGGACTGAAAATGGTAAAAAAAATATAATGGAAAATGGCTCAAACAATCCCTTATATACATATGTATGTTTTAGTAGAGGTATTTTCGTCATATTTTTGAAAAAAATGTAACAGTAGGGGGGGTTTTGTATTTATGTGTATAGTACAGGGGATATATGATACGAAGTTCATAGTACAGGGGTGTTTTTGTATTTAACCCTAATATATATTATAAGCAATATGATAAGTAACATGCTTATCAAAGCTTGGGTATAACTCCGATATCTCGGGGCCTTGGACCGGTTGATTGCTCGAACCACCGACTTCAACAGTCGACGGGACAAGTAAAGCCTGCACGGGATTTGCTGAGGAAGAAGTCTCTCCAGACTGTGTAAGTGTACGTTGCCCCGGAGCCTTAAACAGCACAGACATATTGCTCTTGGTCATGGTCTTAGTCTTGGTCGTGGTCATGGTTGTCTTACTCTTATCAGACAGTTCTTTCCTCTTCTTACGGTTCGAGTAGTCGAGATATACGAGGTTCACGTGGTTCTTCCACTGCAAAAAGTAAAATAACACACAAATATATAAATATGCATAATTTAAAAAACAAAAAAGAAATTGCAAAAAAAATAAAAAATAGAAATAACAGCAACCCATTTTCGACCTGTCGATTTTCCCTACATTTTCGACAACAACCTGTCGAAAATGAATAACTCAAAATTTCAATTTCATCCAACAATCGACCGAAAAGTGTCGACTTCAAAAGTTTCGACAGGAATATGTCGAAAATTGTGAAAACATCGACACTTTCAGGTCGTTTTTCGAAGACGAAGAATAAACCAAGAAATCTCAAATCAATGCTTAAATTGACTGAAATTATTGGTACCCATCAGCAAATAAAGATCATTCCTTGCCTAAACAATCAAATCCTAACTATCCATATCAAATTTATCTCAATATCTAAGAAAATGAAGAAAAAAAAAATCTAACTCTTACTTGGGAATACGACGGCGGCATGTTCGTTTTGGGTGGCAACGATCAACAATGGTCAGCGCGACGGCAGTAGGTGGCGGACGGACGATCGGAATTTTTTTGGGAGAATTTTTCTTTTAATTTGTATTAAACTAAGAAATCTTAATATATTGTGATATAAGTTGATATTTTTAAAAAATTATGGGGACAAATGTGCAAATTGGCGATTAGACTAGGTGCCAAAAGCCCAATTACCAAAATATTTATAAGGCTAATGGTTGCCCGGACAAATTAAGAATTCGTTCCCACGCGCCGCTGCACTGCACGCGAAGAAGAAGAAGATGAAGTGGAGAGGTTTTCGAAGTCCCCCAATTCTCAACTACAACAGAATCTATCACCACCGCCGGCGTTTTCACTTCACCACATTCCTCCGCAAGGTACAACCTGCTCCACCACGATCCTTCCTCGGCGGCGCCGCCGCCGCCGGTAGCAATGGCAGCAACTCGCAGTCGCAGGGTACTACTGAACTCGAATTTTCACTCTTGTTATCAATTTTTACTGTAGACCGATTGCCCTAATTATTCTAGGACAAAAATTCTGTAATTTCATATTTATATTTGAAGTTATTGTACATGAGATGCTGGTTAATTTATGTGGCAGGTAATTCTTTCTTAGTACCTGGGGCAACTTTGGCAACCATATTTATGCTTGGTGCTCTTCACGCTCGTCGTCTATATGATGATAATAAGGTAGTTGTTGTGCGTAATCGAATTCATTATCTTTCATAGGTTTGACAAACATACAATTTGTGTGCTCCTAGACCTGATTGAAGCACATGGTGTTTATAACATGAATTGATATGTTGTTTTTGAATATGAACTGGTTACTTCGTCTAGTATGTAACACATTTTATAGGCTAAGGCTCTAGGGTGGGTTGTAGTCATTAGCTATAATCATGAAGTAACGATGAGGATGAGGAAGGAGAGTGAAAGGGTTGTCTTAGGTTATAAAGTGTATATCACTGTTTATTTTTCATGTGCGCCGACTCTAATTTAGTTTCATTGGCGGCAACAACCGAGTTGTTTCTTCTTCATGTCTTGCAACTTAGTTTTTCTTTCCTTTTTTAAACTAGGAATTTTGTAAATGGATCGCTCTTGGGGTTTTCCTTGTATGTTTTATGTAAAACTTGAACTTTTTTTTGATCATATGCTTATTTTCTAGTGATCAGAAAACTTAACAATAACACCTTCGAATAATTTTCATGACTAAAAAGAGCATCTATATGAAATATTGCTTCCAGTGTTTGTACTGGTTTTCTGTGAGTACTATGTTACGTTTGAAGTCTTTCTCGATAATAGTCCAATCTATGATTGTTTTAGTACAATGACTCTTGAACTTTATCTCTGTGGGTGTTGGTGGTGTTGTTTTTATTATTTTGACATTTTTATTGTTGTAATAGATTAGTATTAATTAGGCATATTCTTCTATTGAAAATTATAGCTTGCCTACATAGGTTCTTCTTCCTCTTTTTTCTACACTGCAACAATTTAAATATCAAGCTCAGGCTTCTCTCATAGTCTTACTATTTTACTCGTTATTCTAGAAGGGAATGTATTTGCTCGTTATATGTTTTAACCTCGATGTATCTTCTCAAATGTTTGACAAACAGATTGAAGAGGCCAGATCAAAAGGGGTTGAATTAGAGTTCCAACCAGATGTCAAGGTAAAACATACTTTATGCTTACTTGTCCGTGTTATTGCATTTAGTTATTCTGTTAATTTGTACGCCAAACTTCTCAATGTTGATAGGCAAGATTCTTGAGATTGCTACCGTTGCGCTCCATTTCAAGGCTATGGGGTTCCGTGACTGGTGTGGTGAGTCTTACAATTTACAACATTTTGATGAGCTAATAATGTATGATGAATTTGAACGTACATATAACTGTGCTAAGTATTCTTGACCAGGAACTTCCCGTTTGGCTGCGACCATATGTATACAGAGCATGGGCTCGAGCATTTCATTCCAGTAGGTTTTACATTCTTTTGAAATTATTTTTGAAGTAAAAAGTATCTTATAATCTGCTAAACAATGCATGCCGTGAAAATTTAATGAATTCTCGTTTTGTATATGTAATCAGACTTGGAAGAAGCCCAACTCCCTCTGGAAGAATATGCATCTCTACGGGAGTTTTTTGTTCGCAAGTTGAAAGAAGGCTCAAGGCCTATCGATTATGACCCGTACTGTCTGGTAACTGGTAACGAGATTCTTGAATATCTTGTATCGTCCATTACTGTTGCTCGAACCTCCACAGTTGATCAGTTTGTACTACTTTTTTTTTCTTCTGTGGCTGTAGGCGAGTCCTGTCGATGGGACTGTGCTGAGGTTTGGCGAGTTAAGAGGACCAGGGGCTATGATTGACCAAGTAAAGGGATGTACTTATTCGGCTTCTTCACTACTCGGTGCAAACTCGTATCTTCCGATGATTGCTGCAGGAGATGCTAATGAAGAAGAAAATATTGGGGAAGAGAACACCACCATGAAATCTGCAACCCAGAAGTCGTGGTGGAGAATTTCGTTGGCTTCTCCTAAAGTTAGAGATACTGAATCATCCAGGTAAAAGTTTCGATACGTTTGAAACGGCAATTAGTATGAGATTAAATGGTAGTGTACCCGTAACTTCTATTATTCTTTTCCAGTTAATTTGTTTCCATTTATTTAATCATCGACTCATTTTTTTATGCAATAGTCTGACGGTGATTGTAATAAAGAAATATTGGATTATCTTCCTTTAAGCATTGTATACCCATTAGAATAAAGTTGAACTATGTGAATGCTTGTAGCACAGTTGTTTGTTGGTAGTAGTAATCGCTCTCAAGATGAAAAGAAATTTCTACGAACCACTATAAGATTTCTAGTGAGTATCTGTTGAGGAGTGAATAGTTAAAAGAAGTCATTTCTGTTGAAACGAGGGAATTTTTTTTGAATTATCTAGAATAGAGAATTGGACAATTGTACTGTTGGTGTAATTTTTTTTTTATCTTATGCAGCCCCTTGAAAGGGCTGTTTTATTGCGTAATTTACTTGAAGCCTGGAGACTACCATCGGATACACTCTCCTGGTGATTGGAATATTCTCATTCGTCGGCATTTTACAGGTAAGATATAATCATTATTCTTGGGCCAAATTCGCTGAATAACAAGTACTTGAACTTCCATGGGTACAGTTTAACTGCTCGGCTTGCAAGCAAAAATAATAAGCTCGAGATTCTTTACATCTTTCGGCTTTCCTGCTATTAAAATAAATTGCTTGCAGAAAGATTTTCACATAATAAATGTCTTCTGCAATTTGTTCAGTACTGAATGAATGCGATATGAGCAGACAGCCAGCAACTATAAATTGTTGTCTATGGAAACGAGAAAATAATTAAAAGGCAGCAATTTCATTGAAAATAGTCCTCTGTTTAATCACAGCCAACTGTTGAATTGTATTTATTGTCTGATCGTTCAAATTATTATGTTATCTGGTTTATCATGTCATGTGTAAAAGCTCCTATATATTTCTTGAGGTATTTAAATTTTGTCCATATTCCTTGCAGGTAATCTTTTTCCAGTGAACGAGCGTGCAACAAGAACTATCAGAAGTTTGTATGTTGAAAATGAACGGGTAATCCATATTATTAAAAAATGACGTTTGCTCAATGCTTTTTTTTTCTTTTCTTTTCCAAGTACCCAAACATTAAATATGAAAGATTTCTCATCACCTGATATTTATTCCTCCCCACCAAATTAATAATATAAATTGATTTCACTCGTCTCAAGATCCACTACATGCAAGCTTTCGTCCCACTACCATGAAGTCGGTCAAAGACTTGAATTTTATGTACTTAAATCACAACGTCTAATTATACGATTCGTCTACAAACATTGTCCTGACAAATAATCATATGATAACCAGGTGGTGCTTGAAGGTCAGTGGCAAGAAGGCTATATGGCTATGGCAGCAGTTGGTGCAACAAATATCGGTTCCATTGAGGTTGATTATCTTATCTGGTCTTAATTCATTATTTGCTTTTTCTATTACAAAAACGGAGATTGAACTATATGGGGATCCGTCAATCCAAATTATATGAAACTATAGAGTAATGACTGAGATAGGATCTTTAATGAATACATTATGCAAATGGTACGAGCATCAAACCCCAAGAATTTTTTTTTATTGTTATTTATGTATTAGTTAATGCACTTCCGCCCCCGCCCC